AATGCGGCCTGGCATGGGGCAGAGGCAAAGGAAAATGTTCAAGAAGTCACAGAACCTGTTTCTTCATTGATACCTGTTGGGGCATCACTTGTGGTCAAATTGGCTAACAAGGCAGTTTATAGACATGATATAATGTCAGCTTATCACTTAACAAGTTCCCTCATTCTCACGATGATCTTGCAAGATAAGCATAACCTAGTAAGTGTTCCCTTGGAGCACTGAAACATTTTGCCTAAACTCACAAGGTGACAAGGGTCAGAGCAGTCTTCAGTTATGTTTTTTAAGATGGCAAGCCACAAACTTAGATGTACCATAGTGAAGAACATCTCAGTAAAGGGCTTGATGGAGATTGCCTCATTTTGGACTTAAACACAACCTTTGCAGGCCTAGGAAAGCCTCTGGTTACAGAGAGGAGGTGTGCCAGGGAGCAGTCACAGGGTTAACTGTGTGTTTGGAGGAGATCTGCCCACCTCAAGGCAGGGGTCTGGAAATGATAGTTTGACACCGGAGCTATTACTTGATGGTTTGTTCCAAGCTCATCAGAATTGTGACAATTGGAGTCCGGGTTAAGAAATGAACAAGTGATGAAAATTGCAATACAACTGTCAAAATTTGGTCATGGCATGCTTCAAAGGATGACAGGACATTGGAAAATTTTCCATGAATTCAGCAATTGACTTTCATACCAGCCACTCCATCAGAGGATAAACTTGCCTTCACAAATCAGATGTAAAACATTACCCAGAGTTCTAGGTCCCAGCAATCTCTGGGAAGGAATTGGTGGGGCATACCTCCCTCACCCTGGGAGGGGCTGTTTGGTTTACAGTATCTCATGAGTCTGTATCTTTTTCCAGCCCTTTTCTGATTGACCAAGGATGTTTTACCTGGTATGACATTTAATACACGGGGCTCTGGAAATTGGATCTGTCTGGCCTGGTTCTCCTTTGGGAGATGCCAACTTTCTTCTTTCTTAGAGTCTCTGGGAGAATAGGTCCAGCATCCCCTGGCATTGTGTACCCTTTAGAAGGAGGTTTATTTAATAAGTCATGCATTCCCTCAGGGATTGGAGATACTGTGGAGCAGGCCAAGGAGTTAACAACTCGACTGCTGTAGAAATCTGAGGAACAGCTCAAACCTGGGAGGGGCACATCCAAACTGACACACGATACAGGGTTTGGATTTTTCTTGTATCTGTTTTAAGTCTCCTAAGGGACCTTGGGCTTTTTTTTTAAATTTATTTTTTATTTTTTTGTACCAAGCTTAAGTACTGAGCCAAGCAGGGTGCAAGCAGGGCGGACATGCACGCACATACACACATACCATGCATTCAGTACTATCATGTCTCATCAAGCTCTTCCTCTGCTTTTGTGTCCAGAATCAAACATCCCAGCATCCCCAGCGTCTCAAGTGATAAAGCAGAGGTGCAAACCACTGTGGAAATCCACTGTGGAAAGTTAAGATTCTGTCTCTTTTCTCAGTGAGAAGGTGGGATCTTGAGGATACTACACAAGTAAGACTCGGGCCTTTGGTATGGTATATGAAGAATTAAAGTGGATTTGCAAGTACTGTTTCATAGGCGTGATGGCACAATGCAACATGAAAATCCCTGTTCTTGCCATCATCTTCTTTTCCCCCTATTCCTCCTCCTCCTTTTCCTTGACACAGGGACCCTTGGCTGGCCTTGAACTTGCTCCGTAGACCAAGCAGGCCTCCAGCTCAAAGATCTACTTGTCTTTTTTTTTTTTTTTTTTTTCGAGACAGGGTTTCTCTGTGTAGTTTTGATGCCTGTCCTGGATCTCGCTCTGTAGACCAGGCTGGCCTCGAACTCACAGAGATCCGCCTGGCTCTGCCTCCCAAGTGCGGGGATTAAAGGTGTGTGCCACCATGCCTGGCTTCCGGACTTGTCTTTTGATAGAAATGGTCAATTTTATGCAGTCTGTTGTTACTTTGTGTTGGGTACAAGTAAGTATAAGATTGAGTTACAAAATCAGATCCAAGTCATCTATGATCGCAGGAGCTTTTGCACACAATCACTTTTAAATGGACAGCCATGTCCTTGTTTGGAAGTAGTCTGAGGACTTGAAAGGGCAATTTTTATAGTGGGAAGAAAAAGCTATAGGAATGTGACAGCAGCTTGTCCTGCAGTGCTGACAGAGGAGCATCAGACAAGTCTGGAGTGTCCCAGAGGTGTGTGTGACTCCTGCTGTGAAAGCATGGCTGTGACCTGGTGTGTGAGCCTCTGTACGAAAACAGCGGGACCAGGTGTCCATTTGTTCCGATATCGAAATCTAGGAATTGCTACATGCTGCTATCTGACTTAAAATTATATCTCATTTTTGTTATTTGTCCTAGATTTTTTTATTCAAAGTGTAAAAATGACAGAATTTATCTTAGTGCTCAAAATAAGTTGTTCCAGCCAAACCAGCTTTAATTTTTGGATTTACCTCACTCCCTTGGTGTCAGCACAGCAGGCCTTATATTTACTCCTTGACCAGCAGGAAGAGGCCCAGACGAAGCGTTCTGGCAGCTGCTGATGTGGTGAGATGGTTCTCTTTCACCTTCAAAGTCTAGGTGGGATAGTTTATCGTGTGCTTTTATATCCCTTAATAGGGAGTATATATCTCTCCCAGAGAAACAGCTCCATCCATAAACATCAATCACTGATGTTTTTAAGGTGTCCTTTGAACATTAAATAACCACTGTGTGAACGTTGTAGATTAAAGAAGAAATCAAGAGCTTGATTGATATCAGGCATCCAAGATCTGTCTCAGAGATCCATACTACTGATAGGAAAGACAGTCGCTCCTCTGGAGTCTGTTTCAGGCATAAAATATTAAATAAGAATTCATAAGGGGCATTTTACTCACCTTAAATCAATTCGCCTTGCTAACAGCCAGGGTTAGATGTAGTCTGTGGTCTTTAGCTCTTACACAGAACAAGTGAAATTCTTAGATAGAGAAGACCTTCAACATGAAACATGAAGGGAGAGAGAGCTCTGCTCTGGGGTCAGCACATCTGGGATGGAATGCACATTCCACTGCAAAGTGCCTGTGAAATTGTAGCTAAGACTCCTTAGGACTACTTGAAGCAAGTTGTCATCTGCAATGTGGCCAAGGCGTATGTGTGTGTGTGTGTGTGTGTGTGTGTGTGTGTGTGTGTGTGTGTGTTCGCGCGCACTTGTGGGCTCATAGAGAATACTGGTTAGTGTTTTCTCAACCTGATAGAAGCCAGAGTCATCTGTCAAGAGGGAACTTCAATTGAGAAAATGCTTCCCTCAACTGGTCTGTAGGCAAGTCTGTGTGTATGTGTGTGTGTGGGGGGAACATATTTTCTTGATTAATGGCTGATGTTTGAGGGCCCAGTCCATTTTGCATGGTGCCACCCCTGAGCAGGTGGTCCTGGATGGTATAAAAAAAGCAAGTTGAATGAACTATGTAGAGACCAAGCTAGTAAGCAGCATCCTTCCATAGTCTCTGCTTTAGTTCATGCCCTGACTTCCCTTCATGTTGGACTGTAAGATGAAGTAAACCTTTCCCTTCCCAGGTTGCTTCCCATGGTGTTATCAAACCAATAGAAAGTAAACTGGGGTGGGATAGGGGTGTTGTTAGCTTAGGCTGGCCTCAAACCCCTGATCCTCTTGCCTCTTAAGTGCTGGGATTATGGGCATGTACCACCATGTACTGTTTATATAACTTAATATGTATACTAATCCTAGCATTTGTGAGGTAAAGGCAGGATGATTGGAAGTTCAAGACCAGCCTTGGATACATAGCCAGTTTGAGGCTAGGCTAAGAAACAGCAGACTCTGTCTCAAAAACAAAACAATATACAGATGATAGATAGATAGACATATATGTATCTGTGAGAATTAAATGGGTTAATAGATATAAAAAGCTGAGTACAGTGTTTGCAATGGTATAAACACCCAGATAGTGGCTATTGTGAACATTATCATATATTGTTCTTAACTATTTGTTATCAAGTTACACAAAAGTATTTAAACAACTGCCAGTTACTGTAGATGTTGTTATCATTGCATTTTACTTTATTCCTGCATTGAAATGAAAACCAGAGACAACAGTACCAAGGATTAGCTCAGAAGCCACAAGCATGGTTGCTGGATTTGAGGAGGTCCAGTGCCTCCAACTCTAGCATCAACGCAGGTCTTTTTTTTTTTTTTTTTTTTTTTTTTTGGTTTTTCGAGACAGGGTTTCTCTGTGTAGCTTTGCGCCTTTCCTGGAACTCACTTGGTAGCCCAGGCTGGCCTCGAACTCACAGAGATCCGCCTGCCTCTGCCTCCCGAGTGCTGGGATTAAAGGCGTGCGCCACCACCGCCCGGCTCAACGCAGGTCTTAGAGACCATGAATATCAGGTCCTTCACCACCAGGGCACAAGAGTAAGGCCCAGCAAGGAAGGCCATGGCTTGGGTGTGACGGGTGGTGTTCAGGCCAGGAGCACCTGGCTCAAGTCTCTCTTGCCTTGCCCTTTAGGATTCGCAACAGACATCGTCTGTTTTATTCATTTTTTGTGCCCGTATGGGTCCGTGTGTGTGCATGCATGTGGTGGCCAGTTGTCCAGACATCGCAGGTGTGTGGTACCTTGGGCATCACACACCCAGGTTTTCTCTTTCTTTTTCTTTTGAGATGCAGTCTTCCACTGGCTTGGGGTTTTCCCAGTTCTAGCAGTCTGTCTGTCCAGCGAGCTCCAGGAATCCTCCTCTTTCTGTCTTCCCAGCTCTGGGATCCCAAGTGCACACCGCCACACTTGGCTTTTTTGTTTTTTGTTTTTTTTCAGTGTGGGTTCTAGAAACTGAACTCAGGTTCTCATGTTTATGAAACAAGTAGTTGACCAAGTGATAGCGCCAATACATTCCTTTTGGAGTTGGCTTTTTTTCTAACACATTCGTGTATGTATGCACGAACACACACACACACACACACACACACACACACACACACACACACACACACACGTGGAAGCAAGAGACAAATTCTCCATACCTGTTTGGACGATGACCCGCTTGAAAACCGGGATCTGTCACTTGTGTCTTTCCCCCATAGCTGATCCTGTGTCTTCTCACTTGGGTCTTTTTTGTATTCCTGTCGTTTCAAACAAGCCTAGAGAACACACAACAGAGATGAGAAAACGGCTTCTTTCTCTTGGGTCTGTGACTAGTTTAGGCAGATTCAGGCTTCATACTAATGTGAGAGGCACAGGGAAAATGTTATTTATCTCCAGCTGTTCATGAAATATCTGTCACCAGGTTCAAAGACCAGGCATCACTCTTTTCTCCCTTTGCCCAAAATGCCAGATCAAAACCATCAATCACTGCTTTAATAAATACAAACAATAAACACACCATGGGACTTTATGAAGAGTAGTTTTTTTCTTTCTTTTTAAAATATCTTGTTTATGTCTCTGTGTACATATCCATACGTGCACATGTATGCACAGGTGCCCTCAGAGGCCAGAAGATCCCACCAGATCCTTTGGAGCTGGGGTCACAGGCATTGGTGAGCCACCCTATGTGGTTGGAGAAGCCAAATTCTCATGCCCATGACTGAGCGGCAAGTGCTCCTGACAGCCGAGCTATCCATCTCTCTAGCACCTAGAATAGTTCCTTTTTAGGAAGGTTGTACCTCAAATGCCATATTAACTTCTTCCAGTCTTATTCCCCTCTGTAGCACCCCCTCTTACCACCTCTTGGGTTGACCGACTCCTGGGTCATTCCTTAGTTCTAGAAGACTCTTCATGCATCTGCCACATGCTATTCCCTCTGCTCGGAATAACCTCCCTGCGATTCCTTGGCTCAGCCTGCTGATCACTAAGATCTGCCGTGTGACATCTCCTCTTTCCCTGTCTGCCCACTCTTCTCTGGGCTGAATTAATAGCTAATGAAGCAGTGGACGGTAGCCTGTCTCCAGCTGCAGTTTCAACAGTTACCCATAGTCATCTTTGGTCCACAAACATCAAGTGGAAGGTTCCAAGAATAAATAATTCATAAGTTTTGAATCTTGCACCATTCTGAATAATGTGATAAAATCTCACTTCATCCCACTCTTTCCTGGCCTGGACATGACTTATCTCTTTGTCCAGCATATGCACACTCTTCAAACCACACTCCCATTACTCACTTCATAGCTGTCCATTTATCAGCTCTGCCGTGGCATATCAAAACACTGTGGCTGAAGCAGTCCTCATGCTTTTAATGATGGCCTCAAGGACCAGAGCGGTGATGCTGGCAAATGTATTGCAGTGTGTCATCAGACCTGCCCTTTTCACAATTAGGCAGCATTGCTGACCTTTTACTGTGCCTAATGGGAGAGGCAAGGTTTAATTGTGCTTACAATTCCAGGTTCCAGTCCATTAGAAAGGGAAAGTCCAGGCAGGAACTCAAGCACTTAGATCACAGCCAATCAAAAGCAGGGAGAATAGATGCATGTACGCCTGCTTGCTGACTGCTTCCACTTAGCCTGCCCTCACTCTCACCCAGGGCCCAGCCCGTGCAAAGGTGCCACCCAGATTTAGTGCAGCTCTTCCTCCCTCAGTTAATAATCAGGACAGTCCTCCACAGCTGTGCCTGCCATCTGATCTAGGTACTTCCTCAGTTGAGGTCCCTTCTCAGGTGATTCTAGGTTGTGACAAGTTGACCTTTAAAACTATTGGAGGGGTGTGTGGTCTTGGGGGGTATCCCTGTGAGTAAAGATGGGGACTGCTATGTATTAACACACAGCTAACACATGTAGTTTGGATTGTACAATTTTCCTAGTTCACTGTAATTGGTTTTGTTTTACAGCTCATTTCCCCAGCTGGCCACTAAGAATTTGAGGAGTAAGAACCACTTCTCACCTTTTGAATTTTCTAGCATCTTGAACTGCATTTATCATTTCTTTTATCAGTTTTAAAGTTGGCATACAAAATAATGGATTTCATCATGGCATTTTCATACATGTATATAGCGTTGTAATTTGCTCATATTTACCGTATTACTTTTGCCATTCCCTTCATATTTATAATTTTAAATAATTTAATAAAATATAAAAATATTTTTAATATTTTTGAGAACTTCACACTTAGTACTGTATATGCATCACTTATACCTGCTTCCTCCTCATTCTACTTCCTCCCAAGTCCCTCCCACCCCTTCTCAAGTTAATGACCTCTTCTTCTATAGTTATATATATAGTATTTGTATTATGTATATCCTACTGAGTACATTTAGTGCTGTTTGTGTTTAGGGACTGGATAACCTAGCAGGGAATTCATCAGTGGAGAAAATGGGACTCCCTTCCTTGCGGTCATTGATTGTCTGTAGCTCTTCATCTAGGGATGAAGTCTTGTGGCTTTCCCCCATCCATGTTGCCATGTCAACTAGTATGGTCACTGAGCAGGTCTTGTATACGTGTATTTTAATTTAAACTCTGCAGATGAGAGAAAACTCGCCGGAGCTGAGTCTGGCTTGAATCATATTTTTGCTTCAGAAAGTACCAGTACCTAAATGCAATGTAATAAAAATAAAATAACTAGCCCCCACCCCATCACCATTTTTCTTAGCAAAATTAAAATAAAATCCAGCGCCAAACACTTTCCCTAGGACTGAAGCAACCCAAGGACACCAGGGATTTCAACTGATATTTTAACCTTCCCCTCGCCCGAACAGCAAATGCACTTGGAACATTTCTATATTTCTATACTCATAGCCCCTCACTCATCTGTGACCTATCAGGGTCAAAGTATTCACTAAAGAAGTCTGGTGTAAAGGTGAGCATCGCTGTTACTAAAGTAGACCTGCCATTTCCCCACTTCCGGACTGGGTTGAGAAAAGAGATCTCTTTCACATTTCCCCTCCATTTCCATTAAAACAAGCATTTCCTTTTTTAACACTAGGATTCAGAGTTTCCTGCCTCAGGGAAAGCCTGGGAGGTTGAGCTACAAGGTTAAGAATAGAAATGACCTGGCAGTGGAAAAAGCTGCCTGGACCCCCTGGGAAGCTGGTCACACTGAGCCTCGAAAATGAGTTGCAGGTAGAGTGCCCCCCCACCCTAACTCACCAGCTGGTCACCTGTAGCAGATGGAGTGCCCCTCACCCCAGCTCACCAGCGGGTCACCTGCAGCAGGTGGAGTGACCCCCACCCCAGCTCACCAGCGGGTCACCTATAGCAGGTGGAGTGACCCCCACCCCAGCTCACCAGCGGGTCACCTGCAGCAGGTGGAGTGACCCCCACCCCAGCTCACCAGCGGGTCACCTATAGCAGGTGGAGTGACCCCCACCCCAGCTCACCAGCTGGTCACCTGTAGCAGATGAAGTGCCCCTCACCCCAGCTCACCAGCGGGTCACCTATAGCAGGTGGAGTGACCCCCACCCCAGCTCACCAGCGGGTCACCTATAGCAGGTGGACTCCCGGATTCTAAGAGGAAGATGGTCTCACCCCACCAGGCTTGGACAGTGAGAACACTCCAGAATGATTGCTTTGGTTTTTACTGCTGTCCCTGGTCCATCTTTTATTTTGAACAACTCTGTCACATTAAATCATTGAAATGGACACAGGGAAGTGCTGCCAGGATCCTTGTGTTGCATAATGTAAGCAAGAAAACCCAAAGAAGGGGCTGGAGAGATGGCTCAGGGCTTAAGTGCACCTGCTTCTCTTGCAGAGGATGGGAATAGTTCCCGGATGATGACCTCTTCTGACCTCTGAAGGCAGGTACACACACACACACACACACACACACACACACACACACACACGAGAGAGAGAGAGAGAGAGAGAGAGAGAGAGAGAGAGAGAGAGAGAGAGCTAAAGAATACTAGACAGTACCTATCAAGAATAAGTTCAACAACAACAACAATAAAAATAAGCCAGGAAACTTGAGTAAATATGAGCTGCTTTAAAAAAAACATTAAAATATATTTTTAAAAGATTTATTTATTATGTATACAGCATGTATGACTGCAGGCCAGAAGAGGGCACCAGATCTTATTACAGATGGTTGTGAGCCACCATGTGGGTGCTGGGAATTGAACTCAGGACCTGTGGAAGAGCAGCCAGTGCTCTTAACCTCAAAGCCATCTCTCCAGGGCCCCCCAAAACACTAAAGTATTTTATGTGTGTATGTATGTATGTATGTACGTGTGTGTATGTATGTATGTACGTGTGTGTATGTGTGTGTGTATGTATGTATGTATGTATGTATGTATGTATGTATGTATACACAGGAGGTACCATGACACACATGTGGAGGTCACAGGACAACAGAAACAAGTCAGTTCTCTCCTTCCACTGTGTGGGTCCCAGGGCTCAAACTCAGATTGCCACACTGGATAGCAAGAGACTTCATCAATTACTTCAAAGAGGATGATGGGCATCGAAGAAACTGATTATGGTGTTTGCTTTCTTTGTGGCAAAAGTTAGTCACTGGGAAAAAAAAAAATTCCCTAGACTCAACTGCTCGACAGGATGGTGTATAAATTAGACATGCAGGACCCATTAGGTGACCACTGAACTTTGCAAGGCGAGATGGTCCTTCAGGTTCCTGCTTCGCAGAGGAGATTGCCAGACATTCTGCAGGACACAGGGAGAAGCGACTGATGAACTTCGCCAGTAGGCAAGACAATCCTTCACATTTCTTGCTTCACAAAAAAGTCAGCCAGAGACTCTAGACCTGTAGGCTGAAGATGGATGCCCCAATGTTGCAGAGGAACTTTGGATGACTGTCCAGGCAGCCAGATGTCTCTGTCATTTCTAGAATTCTGAAACTTGCTTACAAAGCACTTCCTTAGTTTACTTAGGTAATACTACATCCTTCTGGGGTTTTTGATGGAATTGAAGACTGGATAGTTATGCTTTTTCTTCATCATGATAAAGGGTAAATTAGATATGAAAGTTTAGACTCACAAAAATAGGATAGATGATAAAATATTTGTTTTAATTTTACCAAATACAAATAGACTAGATATTGTAACTGTAATTCTTGTTTGATAACTGTTTTATTATATATAATTTTACTATGTTAAAGTTAAAACCTTCCTTTTTGATTAGACAGAAAAGGGGAAGTGCTGTGGGGTATCTTTCTGTATACTGTGAATATACGTGTTGCTCCCATTGGCTAATAAATAAGC